GTTGAGGATCTACGTTTGTGAATATTTAGATTGAATATAACAAATACTTATGAAATGTTGACTTTTATTAGGGTTCTTGACCTGACCACAATGGTTACTGCACCCATACGTGCCTGCTCTTAAGGTCAGACTTTCTTGGGAGCCAAAATTCTACAGAGAGTTGAAGTTTTCAGTACGAAATATCCCAAATTGGTCAAAAGGTTTCCTGGTATTTGTCTTGAATTTACCGAGAGGTCAGTTTTGCTTACATTTTATAGACTGAATAATTGATCAGTTGAAAACAAACAACAAAAATCCATACTTGTAGGTTGACAATTCAACTACAAGAGAGATCAACTATAAAGAGATAAACTCAACAGGTTCCCTTTCAATTGTACAAAGTTGAAATTAAAAGAACAAAACATTACGTCAATCTTGGCTATGTTAGTCTTCCTGTCTAATCAAGCATTAAATACCAAGTCATCATAAGCCAAACCACTGCATTGTAATCATCAATTACACTATAATCTCCATATTTCTTAATAATCTATGCCAACGAAATGCAAGCAGAAATGCTATCAAGGATGGTTAAGCTCTTGTTGCAAAGATGAATGTGGTTACTTCTTAAGAATGTTTAGGTGTAGGCTTTGTGTTCCAGATACTTGTATTTTTATTGGGAGTCATAAAAACTATTTATACAATCAAATGTTTTTGAGATGTTAAGACAGAATGGATAGCATTGTTCTGAGGAGCGTCTCACAAAAACAGTATTTGTCTAGTGAACTTGAACTGTGTAATCTAATAGCTGGAACATGTGTCCTCTTTCACGGATTTTCTAGCACTTAATTCTCAAATGACTTTTCGTTGCATGGAAGACAGAGTGAGAAAAGTATGAGATTCATAGTAAAGTATTACAACTCGTGCAACACTACAGCTTCCCTGCGTTAGTGTGCGCGTGAGAAAGACTAGGAACTCAAGGCCAAGTTGCTATCAGCAGCACCACAAGATAAACTACAGGGACATCTGACAACATTTTCGATGTATGCCTAAACCTCAGTTGTCTGAATTCTTATGCATTGCACCTGTGTCCGTGTTCTCAGAAGTTTGTTTACACTTCTGGTTGTTGCATTGCTGTAAGTGTCACTAACTATCGCTGTGAGTGTGCTTGACGCTGATGCTAATGAGCTGCTGAAGACCATCTGGCAGTGTTTGTGTGTGTGTATGTATGACTAGACTTTGCTCCATGCAGCCCTGAAGGCCAGTTGGAAAAGGCTCATGTTGTGGCTACCTTATTTGACTTAGCCCTTGTAGAAGACTTTAGTGCTGGCTCCAGATCTGTTAATGTGTCTGTCTCATGCCCTTAAAAGCCCTGATCGTACCTGCCTGTAATCATGGTAAATGCTGTCTCACCTCAGACTTTTAAGATATTGTACACAATTATAGCAATGATAAGTAATTGAAAGATTGCCACTGCCCATTGGAGACATTATATGCTATTCCAAAACAGCTTGATACTATGAATGAATAGATCAATTGGAAATACTCTTCAATGTCTATGCAGAACAAATAATTTGTATATGATTATTATCTTGACCCCTGCAGTATACTTCACATTCATTTTTAACTAAAGGCACTATATGTAGCTAACACATTTTTTAGAACTGAAACAGGAACACTCTTTACAGTGGTAGTCTATATTGAGTAATCTCTAGTTGCAGATTTTTCATGTGAATATGCAGAATCTGTTGGCAAGGGATTTTGAGGAGGGAAGCCATCTGGTTTCTGTTTCTAGTTTGACCGATTTTGTTTGAGCAGGCTTTGGTTGCCCCGCAGGTAAACAGTCTGGGAGGAGAGCAAAAGATATGGAATACATTGACTGAAATGTATATGCCTTCACAAGCAGAAAACAGTTGATAGAAATTAGCCAAAATATCATCTGGACCTTAAACACCTACTAAAATGGATCAGTGATTGTGTTTTATGTGGAAAAAGTTGTGTGTTAAAAGAAACTAGTCGGACTGTTTTGACCAGGATATATTGGCTATTGCCTCTAGAGGCTAATTCATAATCGGACAATATCTGCTTTCAGACATCCACCGAACCTCTGAAAACAGTCATTAAAATGTTCTGCGCCTTGTGCCACAGTATGTCTGTGGGTTTGGTCCTGACGCAGTTTGTTACCCTCTTCCTGTTCTATTGTTATGAGAAAATCATCATTCATTTAATCTGTGAGTGGTCATATGTTTTGACTCATGTTTATATGTAGAGACAGAAATGTCAAGAAATGTGGATTTCCATTGTTTTCATCGTCATTAAATTATTTAACACCATCCTTATCCTCCAGTTTTGCCAAAGAGAACTTCCTCATATCAGGCTACGTTGGTGTGTAGCTATTTATGATTGTAAGCATGACGTGTTTGCAATGGGGGAAGGTTATTCATGTTAATCTTATATCCAACTTCCTCTTAACTCACACAAATGTTGTTATTCTAGTTTGGCCTGGTTCATTATTTTTAAAACACTAAATTAAAATTTACTGTCGTGTCCTTATTGTTAACCAAGGATAGTTTTTTGCAGCGCTAATTAATAAAAACCTCTCTCTAGAAAGTCCAGGACAATCTGGTGCTTATACAGTTAAGTAGATAGTTTAATTTGGATTACCTTCTATATAACTGTTTTCATATCTTTTACAAGCAGTGATAAGTTTTGATAGATCTGTCAGTGAAGGCTGGTAGAAACACCATCAGTTGAAGCTGTCTAATGCTGACTCTTAGGGCGTTTTCACACCTACCTTGTTTGGTCCGGACCATCAGACTTTTCAGTTTAGTTTGAACCAAAACAGATGTGAAAGGTGCCTCGGCCCTGTTCCAGACCAAAATCTAGTCCAGCCAAAAGAGGTGGTCTTGTTCCTAATCAAATTGATCCACAGTTTGGTTTGTTTGCAGTGTAACATTAGTTTTTGAATAGTTTGGACTATCAAACCCATTGCAGGAAGCTGAGACAGTTTTAAACTATACAAGAACAAAAAGAAGCAGATTAAAAGATTGCCTACTGTCCTCACCTCTAATTAAGGACAGTTAATTAAATTTCCCCTTTAATATAGAAGGACTACTTTTAATTTATCCACCTCATTCCAAAAACTCAGCAAATACATTAGCTGACGTCAGACCCCCCCCCCCCAAACCAATCAATATCAAGTATAGGCAGAAGTAGACCACGTAAGCAATGATACCAAGACGTATGTATGCCATAGAATCATCTTTAGTTTGCTCCCTAAATGGCAATGTGAAACCAAAACTATCTAAATCTAATATTCACAATGTAACAAATACATGAACATGGTATTTATTAAAAACACAACTTCATTAGTTCTTAACTGAGTCAACATGCGGTTTTTATACAAAGCACCTGTGAATCAACTGCAGTGGCACACTTAATGTGTTCAGAGCAAATCACAGTTAAGCAAATATTGATAAAACTGCGTTTGCACTGCTCTTATACTCGTCACATACAAAATAACTTTCATTCCTTTGTCTAAAGATATGGAAGCTCAGTGACAGAGTCAGACATGTTTTCTTTTTCTAGTTTTTGAGAAATATTTTTCATAGAGTTCACCTCATGTCAAGTGTTGAAATACCTGGCTTGTAGCAGACAGGGCCATGATGTGGGCGTTAGTGAGTGGGTTTTCAAAGGTGTGGTTCCAGCTCCTTTTATATGAGAGTTTGCTATGTTCTTCATCGTCTATGACAGTAAATAAAATACCTACAGATTTAACAGTGTTACTCTAAAGGCCTAACCTTGGCCTTTGAAAAATTATGAATGCCAAATTCTCTCTAGTTTTGACATTTGGAAGCTTAAAAAATAATTGAGGAGACTATTGTCAGATTGATCAGTAATGAAAATAGCTGTGAGCTGCAGCTCTATATTTGTTCAGTCTTTAAAGCAAATCCAGGAAAGCTATTGAAGCATTTTCTCAGCAATGTTACACCCGTATAGAGCAAAAAAAGCCATGTGCACCAGTTTGTGCTTGTTTATTTTGGTCTCTTATTCGAGAAGTTATTTTGCTTTAAGCCACACTTTAAGTATCATTTGTGCTGGACTACGGTCCATGTTGGACTGTTTCTTTTCATGTTTTGTCATTCAGCATATTGGTCAGTTAGTCAGATTCTCCACTGTGTGCCTTGGGGAGGCCAAGGCAGCGATCATGTGGTGTACAAACTGCTTCTCTCTTCTCAGAAAGTGACTCAACAGGAATGTGATTAATCACAGATCTATAGTGGAGTGTGTTTATCTTCATGGGCCTTTTGTGGGGGTGGGCTTCTGTGTGTGACTAATTGAGACACATGTCCAACCCTATAATCAACATTAGTTTCGAAGCCTTCAATTTTTTTCTTGATTATTATCCTTGTTGTCTTAACAGCCTTTGTGTGTATCTTGAATGTGATGTCCCTCACTACATGGGAGAGGACATTATCTCGGACTGAGCGCTGCGTGGTGGAACACGCAGGCCCTCAGCTGTCAGATGACGCTAACCACCCACCCTCATACCACCCCCCCTGCCACTCTCCACCCTTATACGCCCACATCCCTAAACACTCCCAGGTCCCCAGACCAAAAGGAATGACAAAGATCCTGGAAGGGCATACAAATGCGAGACCTAAACTTTAACAAGCTCTTGACTCTTCTGATTAGAGAGAAGATTTTGTATCAGTTTTCAATATCAGTAAATAGATAACGGTATTTGAGGTTGTAATTAATGATTGTGAGCTTCATGTGCACGTAATAAACCAAACAGATAAATTAATAATGGAAGTAATCATCTGCATTGATAATTGTAGTTTACAGGTATTATTATTATTTAATTTTTGCAGCGCACTTACAATAACCAAGGTATCAGAGGTCTACTTAACTATGCTAAATGATTCCTATAGAATTTTTGACTCTGTTCATGACAATTAAAGTTATATCTTATTGTGGGCTGTTTACACACATGCTAACAGTGTGTTCTTTTCTGTCTTTAGAGAGTCCAGCGAGGAGTGCAATGGGATCAGCAGTGCTCTGTCAGTGGAGTCTGTGCCGGGGCCAAGACTGAACTGGTGTCCTGCCAACACCACTACCCCTGCCCCAGCTCCAGCTCCCGCTCCGGGGCACGAGCCCATGCTCAACCCTCTCAGAATGGGGGACGGCCTGGACGCAGCGCAGATGTCGGGCGGCAGCAGCAGTCAGGGGCAGGCCCAGTCCTCGGGTAACCCCCCACCCCCTGAGTGCATCAGTCCCGACAGGCCAAAGCGCCAGACCAATCAACTGCAGTTTCTGCTCAAGGTGGTGGTGAAGTCCCTGTGGAAGCACCAGTTTGCCTGGCCCTTTCATGCACCAGTGGATGCAGTCAAACTCAACCTGCCTGTGAGTATTCATCACCCTCTGTGCTTCATACCTCAAAACATAGTCGGCATCACATACAAATTCTCACCAGCTTTACTGCATCTACACATTCCAGCTGAACATTTAAAGTATATGTTTCAAATAGGTCAATTTACAGTTATTGCTCTCTGCAGAACAACTCTCTCCTCCATGTGGTTATATATAACCATAACCAATACAAATATATTTGTTTGTGATATCAGGGCTCATTTCTTTCAAGATAAAGCTAAATAGTAGCAACAATTCCAGTATTATAAAAAAATGGGCATTGATATACCTGTGTTTTTTAATGTTAATGTTATTAACATTAAGCCAGTAAATTTATGCAAAACTCTCAGACATGCTTTGTGATTTTTGGTTTGTGTTCTGCTTATTCAGTCAAGTCAATGTTATTTACATAGCCTAATAAGACATTTCAAACAGCATTCTGTACATGTGTTGATTTCATCATTTCACTGACACCATTAAGATTGAATTCAATGTTAATGTATGCATTATAGAATGTTGTCAAATTTAAATGAGTCACTTCAGTTAATTGTAAAATGGATCATACGAAACTTATTTTGTAATTGCTGAAGAAATAACAATTAGAGAGATGCATTTTTTTACTTTCAAGATTTTTAAAGCTAACTTCAAATCCAATCATAGCAGCTTCATAATGTCGCAAGAGATTGTCACATTATTGAAAAAGGAATTAAACAAAATAAACCTTCTTGAAATACTTAATAATAATATATGCAACCTTTTCAGGACTACTACACAATAATAAAAATTCCTATGGACATGGGAACAATCAAGAGAAGGCTTGAGAACAGTTACTACTTGAATGCCCAAGAATGTATCCAAGACTTCAACACAATGTTTACCAACTGCTACATATACAACAAGGTAAGTTGTACCCTGGAACCTGTATTATCACCAAGTGCTCAAGATCCTGATATGCCTCTACTTTTGCTAAGAGTGTTTGTCTCCCCCTACAGCCTGGAGATGACATAGTCCTAATGGCTGAGTCTCTAGAGAAGGTTTTCCTCCAGAAGATCACAGAAATGCCTCAGGAAGAAACTGAGATCGTCGTCATGACAGGGAAAGGACGTGGGCGGGGCAGGAGAGAGGGGGGTAGGTGACTTAACTATTGGTTGTAGCATATTTTGTTCTTTTTGTCGGCCTCTATAAGATTGGCTATTAATATTTGTTTTCTCATCAAGGCCTGAACTTGAAACCAGGGGCCATCATTGATCCTTCGTCCACGACTCCTCAAACCCGTGGTTTGTCAAACCTCTCAGTAGCACCGCAGATCAGAGGACCTGTGCAGGGCCCACCTTCACTACCTCCCCAGCCTTTGATGCAGGCCCACGTGCACCCAACGTTACCTAGCCACGTGCCACAGCTCGGAGCTCCCTACTCCCTGGGCCAATCAGACTGTGCTCCTCAAGTTCCCATCATGACTTCTGTGCCTCCCCCTACTCAGACCTCCCTGCCTCCAGCATCCATCCAGAACACTGCCCCCATGCTGCAGAACCCTGTTACCATGACCAAAGTGAGTGTGACACAGGAAAATGTGCTTGGGCAGGTGGTCTAGTTTTGATTTTGTAAGATAATTTAAGACGCAGTCTTCATTTCAGTCCTGAGATAAAAAGTCCATGTTACTTTTAGTGAAGTTTAATAAACATCACCCTTGCGTATTTTTAGTCTTCAGTTGACTTAAACTGGACGTTTCAGTCTAGACTTACTATAATGTAATCCTATACCTTGACATAGAAAAAACTGTCACGATAAAAAGAAACCTTGTACAACAGCCCTGCAGTAAGTTGAACCCTTACATGTTCGGATTTCTCAACAAGTCACAGAAATAAAGGTTGACAAACAGGTTAATCGTAGTTTTCATGAACATAATTAAAAACATTTTTGAATAAATTTGAGAGCATTAAAAAGATGTGGCTTGGGTTGGCATCACCATTAATTTCTGTCCTTGTCGTCTTTTTCCCCATCTCTGTGCTTTCTTGATATTCACTACTATCCAGCAAAGAAAGAGCCAGAAAAGGAAAGCAGACACTACAACGCCCACAGCCAATGACCAACTCAGTGAATCTTCGCCAGCAGAGTCCAAATCTGGGAAGACGTTACCCAGGCGAGAGAGCGCCAGACCTACAAAACTAATTAAGAAGGAGGCCCCAGACTCTCAGCATCACATAGGCATGGGTATCGGACTGAGCGGACCAAGCGGAGGTCATAGCCCCAAACCACAAGATCAACTGGGATATTGTGCTAGCTTGGTTAGGGATATGCTGTCAAAGAAACATGCTGCCTACGCCTGGCCATTCTACAAACCCGTTGATGTGGATGCACTTGGACTACATGATTATCACGATATAATCAAACATCCCATGGACCTAAGCTCCATCAAGGTGTGGTGAAGACAGCATAGTCGGTCCAGTGTACTATCAGTTATTAAAGAGAGTGGACTTGTGGCATGGCAAGTAATTCATATCCTTGATGTGTTTAATAGGCAAAGCTGGAGAACAGGCAATACCGGGAACCCCAGGAGTTTGCTGCTGATGTACGATTAATGTTTTCCAACTGCTACAAATATAACCCACCAGACCATGAGGTGGTAGCTATGGCACGCAAACTACAGGTAAATATTGCCTTACGTGCAAACAGTGTTACTGTTTAATAACAAAAAGATCAGGCAGTTCATCTCTGTAGAGTTTAATTCATCTCAAAACCTCCACTCGAAGAGAAGCTTGGCCAAACCCCAGTGCTGTTTTAGAGTCTTGTATTATTATTATCCATTGATTATTCTTTGTAAAATACAAATGCAACATGTATTTATTTATACTATTTATTACAGTTTGTCTAGTTTTCTGTTGAAAAATAAATCAACTCAACCACAGGTTTGCTCCATTTGTTTTCACAGCCATAGTCTTATCATATCCTTCTCATTTCCAACTTAGTGATTTGCCACATATTTTCAGATATTATCTTTCTCAATGGGTAGTTAGAGGCAGCGTATTCATATACAAAGCACACAGACAACTTGCCTACAAACTCAACAACCCAGAAATACAAAAATTAGAAATGGCCAACATAGTGCAATACACAAAGGAACACGTTGCGTCAACAAAAAAAAGTTGTGGTTTCTTTTGAGTCTATACCTACAAACATACACAGCCTTTTGCTAAATTTGTTTATTTTCATTTTCCAGGATGTCTTTGAGATGCGTTTCGCCAAGATGCCGGATGAACCTGAGAGCAAACCTCTGGTGTCTGCCCCAGCTCCTACACTTCACCATCCTGCCCCTGTTAAGCCCCCGCCTCCTTTGGCCCACGTCGCCTCATCTTCAGACAGTTCCAGTGACTCATCTTCTGAGTCTGAGTCTTCCACAGATGACTCCGAAGAGGAGAGAGCCCAGAGGTTGGCTGAGCTCCAGGAACAGGTCAGTAATCACAGAAGGTCGCGGCATATTTGTGGTCCAGCCCTTGTTATCCTTTGTTAAGAACTGGTCTCTTCCATTGATACAGTTGAAAGCTGTGCATGAGCAGCTGGCTGCCCTGTCTCAACCACAAGTCAGCAAACCAAAGAGAAAAGAGAAGGAGAAGAAAGAGAAGAAAAAAGAGAAGCATAAGAAGAAAGGAAGCATGCCTAGCCTTGTGGATGAAATCCAGGATACTATACCTGTTTCGCAGCTCTCTAAGAAGAACAAGACGAGTAACAATAACAAAGAGGTTGTTTCCAAGAAGAAACACAGGTGGGTTTTATACATTCTCCATGTTAGGCTGTCAGTTCAAGCAGCTGTTATCCATTTCTTTTGCTATCCGCTTGTTATTGCTCAATTCAGTCTGACCATACCTTACATGTTGGTAAATGTCATATTTTTGTTTTGCCTCTGTAGTAAAAAGGAAGGGATGAAAAGCAATCATCCACCCAATCTGCAGCCAGTTCCCAGCCTGGAAGATGACCTTGGGGCCGCTGGGTCATCGGCGTCAGGGGAAAAGTGCAAGCCCATGACATATGAGGAGAAAAGGCAATTAAGCTTGGACATCAACAAGCTTCCAGGTGACAAGCTTGGCCGCGTAGTACATATTATCCAGTCCAGAGAGCCCTCACTTAAAAACTCAAACCCTGATGAGATAGAGATTGACTTTGAGACGCTAAAGCCTTCGACTCTGCGCGAGCTGGAGAGATACGTTTCTTCCTGCCTCCGCAAGAAGAAAAAGGCTCCAGGTAAGTGACTATAGGAAATCAGCAAAGAGAGCACTCTGAGGTATAAATGTACAGTTGACTTATAAAAGACATGCATGAACACATTGTTGTTGTTTTGCAGTTGAGAAGAGTGTGGAGTCCATGGCTACCTCCAAAAAGACGGGATCTTCTTCAGAGAGCAGTGGCTCCAGCTCAGACAGCGAAGCAGAAGGGACAGGTAACAAATCTCAGATTTTACCACTCGAATGCCCCAAATCAAATGAAAAAAAACACAAAGTGAGGTCACTTATCTTAATTTTGCTTTTTTTCAGGAATGATAAAACAGCAGAAAAAGAAGGGTCAGTCTATAAAGGAGGGGAAGAAGACGCATCTTCATGCACAGAGCGACCCTGCTCAGTCTGGGCTTCATTCCCAACCTCCAGGCCTTCAGCCGAGCAGTCAGATCAAGCACCATCAGCCACAGCATCAGCAGCCATCTCCTGCAGGCTTCATGGCTCCCCCTGTAGCTGCTCTGGAGTCTTCTCAGTTACTGGAGACTAGCTTCGAGTCCCTGCCACCTTTCAACCAGCCCCTCATGCATCTGCCTCACCACACAGGCAACTCTTCCTCACCTCCGCACCTCAATGCTCATTCTGCTGGGTCTGTGTCCCCCGAAACCCACCCCTTCCTTAACCAGCATCCCGTCCTCCCGTCTCCAGGTAAGGCTGTCCACAAGTGGTACTTAGATATTCATTGATTCTGAATGTGTAACTGCAGTACCTCTGACAGTAATGGCTCCTACCAAGTGAAGTATGACATTTTCAAAATGATCACATACTTTGTCAGCGTGAATACTTTCTTCAGATTTGGTACAAATATTCACTTGATTAGACTTGGACAAGATAGAGATCACCATGGCCTCGTTGTTTCTAGTCTAACCAACAAACTAAAGTTAAAATTTTGAATGTGCAGAAAAATATGTTTGAACAAGGACAGATTACTCCGGTGGCTTATGCTCATTTCCACATGAGACCGTTTCAGCAGGATTTTCCTTAAATTTACTAATACACTTTAGAATGTAGCAAATTAAACAGCTGTTTTTTTATAAACGCTGTTGAGGATCACCAAGTATTAACAATGCAATTTGTTTCTTCGCTGTGTGTAATTTTAGCCTTGCACAGTTCCATGCCTCAGCAGCCGTCTCGACCCAGTCACAAGGCAGCGCCTCTTCATCCTAAACTCCCTCAGCAGCAACAAGCAGCACCTCCTCCTCCTCAGCAGCAGCCAACCCTGCAACAGCATCCGCAACAACAACAACAACAACAGCAGCAGCAGCAGCAGCTGCAGGTCCAGTCAGCAGCGCCACCACAGCATCAGCTCCCCTCTCAGATCCTTCACCCTCCTCAGCCTCTGCACCAACGGCCCATGTCCCCCCCAACACTTACACCCCAGGGCTTGCTGTCTTCTCAGCCTCCTCAGATGCTGCTGGAGGATGATGAAGAACCAGGGTCTACAACGCCTTTGAACCAAGTACAGTTATACCTACAGCAGTTCCAGCAACCCCGTCAGCCCCAGCAGTCCATGCAGTCGCTCCAGGCGCAGGCTCGTCAGCAGCAGCAGCAGCAGCAGCAACAACAACAACAGCAACAACAACAACAACAACAACCGGCTCAGACTTCTCTCCTGCAGTCTGTCCAGGGACAATCTCAACTCTCATCTCAGGCGACGCTGCCTCCTCCCCAGCTCCCTGTTCAGTCCCAGGCACCTCCTGCACCATCACATCAGCCCCCACCCCAACAGATGCCTCTACTCCAGGCCCGCCACATGCAGCACACTCAGCAGCAGCAGCAACAGAGCTACCAGCAGGGTCCTGGACTAGCTGCTCAGTCTCTGGGATCGCAACACAAGGTGTCCATCTCTACCAACAAAGCACAGCAGATCATCCAGCAGCAGCAAGACCTGCCCTCGCCTCGCCCAACCAAGGCTGACCCTTACACAGGTGAGTCTGAGAAGATGACAGAAGTGTAGCTGGTGATAGAAGCAAAAAGGGTTTGCTGCACAAATGAATTCTGTTTCCTGAAGTTGGACGTTGTTCTGTTCTGCTGACAGGTCACATGAGGGACAACCCATCTCCTCTTATGATGCATTCCCCACAACTCCCCCAGTATCCTCCTGTGTCTCACCCGTCTCCACCTCACAACATGCAGCCCAAAAAGGTGAGTTACATGCTCTGGTTGGACAAAACTATTTTTGTGGCGGTTTAGAGCAGGACCAACGTTGTGTCTCCATTTTCTTGCCTTGCAGCAGAGGGCCCCTGGGAGCCAAGGTGTGTTGAAGGAGGAGAAACTTGCTCCATCACCAGTGATGAGAGTAGAGTCTTTTAACCCTGCAATGAGACCAGACCATCACAAACACCCAGATAATAAGCCTTCTCAACCAGGCCACGGCCAACAGAGTGAGTACCAACATCTTCCTTAGACTTTCTGCATTTAAACATGTATAGAGAAGAAGCTGCACATGATATTGAAACCATGCTTCTGTGTATGTGTGTGTGTGAAGATGTGAAGTCCATGGACAGCTCGCGACCCGTCATCCGCTCCTCTGAGCCCAGTGGGCCTCCGCCCTCTCTGCAAGACAAGGATAAGTTCAAGCAGGAGTCCAAGGCGCCTGTTGCCCCCAAAAAAGTACAGGTGGGTGTCAGAGAAACACATTTCCTTCAACTCATTCAGTTTCTCTTTTTTAACTTTATAACATTGTATCTTGCAAGATGCTGGAGTTGATGACTGTGCGTCTGTGTGTGCTTTCCCAGGATGTGAAACTAAAGAACATGGGCTCATGGGCCAGTCTGGCACAGAAGTCCACGTCTACGCCCATGTCTGCAGTGAAATCATCGAGTGACAGTTTTGAGCAGTTCCGTCGTGTTGCTCGGGAGAAAGAGGAGAGAGAGAAAGCCCTGAAGGCCCAAGCTGAGCAGGCGGAAAAAGACCGGCTACGCAGAGAGCAGGACAAACTACGGTAAGGACGTCAAAAAGAAAGCCGGAGACATGATACACTGAAGTCTGCAATAGTTATCTTATCCCTGTTTTGTCCAGGTGACCTATCTGTCATCTCTGATCGCTGAAAGTCAATGTGATATGCCCCCTAGTGGCTGTATTGTAGGACCACAACAGCAGCTGAGAATAGATTTTAATTGAGGACTGCTGTTTCAGACATCAAAATATAAACCTGAGGAGATAATAATCTTTAACATACATCAGTTGTTGGGGTGTGATTTCATGTTAGTGTATAAATGAGTGATTACTCTTCCTCAAGCCATTACATGTTTACAGTTTGCAGTTTTAATCATGTCTGAAACTAATGTTTTTAACAGCCCCCTTTATAGGCAGCAGCTGTTCAAGGTACTGAAATCACTGAGGGTCTTGATAATTAACCTCATGTTCCGTTTGCAAAGCTGAGGCTTACATCCAACCTTTAATTCTGAGATGCAGCTCAGGTTTTAACGTTATAATGGGTTTTGGTTTCCAGATGTTTTATTCGTGTGAGGCTGTTGAGACCTTTTTTGTTGCAATGGGCGAGATTTTAATATTTAAAGCAGAAATGGGGCTGCAAGAGAAAAGTGTTTTCCATCTGTTGTAACTGATACTCTACAGACTCTCTGTAGCTGTGTGAAACAAATCTTAGTTCGATTAGTGAACGTGCATTAAAAAAAAGCTGATCAGAGTCAGATCTTTATTGCATTTAACATATTTCCAAATTTAGAAACTTAAGTTAAACGTGCCTGCACAGAGCTGTTCTATAGCTGTATGAGCGATTTTGAGTTTGTGGACTTGCTGTTTTATGTTTAGCCATTTTTCCTTCGAAACATCCAGAATGGCACCAGATGGAGCTTTAAGGATATCTCTTCCTCAGTCACGAACCCCCCACAGCTACGTGTTTGATTTCACCTGGTGTAAATTATTGGTCTGAATGTTTTCCAGAGGTCGGGATGATGATGACGTCATGGAGCCGACCAGGAGGGTGCACGAGGAGCCACGCAGGCGCCTGGAGCAGCAGCACATTCAAGCCCCTACGCACCAACCACAACAACAACAACAACAACAGCAGCAGCAGCAGCAGCCGCAGCAACAACAGCAGCAGGAGCCCCCGCCGACCGCCATTCAGCAGCCTCCTCAACCCCCCACACCGCCTCAGCCCGCCGCACAGAACCCGCTCGACCAACAGAGGGAGCTTGCACGCCGCCGAGAGCAGGAGAGGAGGAGGCGAGAAGCGGTGAGATGATTGTATTTTAACATTCTGTTGTTTAATGTGAAACTAATTATTATTAATTACAAAAGAAGGAGAAAGGTGAGAGATATGCACCATCGGAGAAGAGTTCAGTTTGAAGACATACAGCAGCGTAACGATCAGATTTACATGAAGGTGTGTGAGCTCTGACTTCATGAATGTAAAGGAAATGCTCTGGTTTGTCTTGTCTCCCCAGATGGTAGCGACTATTGACATGAATTTCCAAAGTGACTTAATGGCTATCTTTGAGGAGAACCTGTTTTGAGGAGAGGAGCACCTGAAACGTAACTGCAAAAAAAAAAAGAGAAAAAAAAGGATTCCCTCGGGGGGAGGGGAGAATAAAACTTGGAGGATTAACACTTCGTCTAAAGTGAGATTTGATGAACCACGCATCACAGAGGGACACGGACTGAGTTTAGACGTGACGGACGCTCGGCGGCTGGATGGGAAGATCACAGCTCACGGGGATAGTCTCATTGTTCTGGATGTAATTTTTCCCGGGGAATTCCTGCGCGGCGTCTCACAGCAAGAGAGGAAAGGACCCCCGCCGGCACAGTTGCCTTTGTCACACTTGCTTCTCACAGTGTGCGTGGTCGCAAACAATAATCGCAGGAGTAAAGACAATAACTATGAATATGCTCTGATAATGTACTGACAGACTGTGCAGAGGTGTTTTGAAACTGCCAGATGTCCGAGGTGATGAAGAGGACTGGTCTGTTTTGTTTGTTGTACGTGAACACATGAATGGTTGGAGTGGAGGGAGGGAGGGGGGGGGGGAGCAACTTCCATACTGTAAATCCTGTATATTTCTCAGTGGAGAAGGTACACTTTGCCTTACACCTCTTTCCTAAACAGACCATTATGTTCTGTGGCCTGCACACATGGACAAACCAATAACATTTAAAAAGCAGGAGTAGGAGCAGTGCAGACCTTTTTCATCATGTAGTATCTACTGTAAAGAAGTATTTTCTTATACTACAATAACTGTTTATTTTTTTTTCCTCTCTGAATCTTCACACCAACACACTCCGCCACTTATGTCTATGCCAAACAACCCCATTATCTTCTATTACTTGTCCTAAAACATGATCAGTAGTTGGTGGGGGATAAAAACCCCTGCGTATATGCATCAATCATAGTTCCAGTGAGGATTTTATCAGACACAGAATCATTTGAAGATTTTAATCTTGCCTTGTATTTCTTATTTAAAGCCGCAACAGGAAATCGTTAGCAGAAGAGTAGAAAGGTCCGGTTGTATTCTGAGTTTTAGTTGAAATTTAATTTCACTACGAGTCTTGCACCGTTATTTGTATTACACTTTTAGACATGATGTTGGAAAGGTTCATATCATTGGCTTGTCCGCAGCAGTCACACTAGCAGAAGTTAGGAAGAGAGGGGACGAGGAGCCCCTTGCTGTCGCGAGCGCTCTGACCTCACCGCGCGGTTTTTCGATCACATGTCAACAAGCGGAGCGTTCGCGGCAGGGAGGGGACAATCGGGGATAAAAACAAACACTCGCCACCTTTCTGTACACGTGAATGAGGTTAGTAAAGAAAAGCTGAAGGGAGAAAGAACTTCTGGTTAGTTTTCGCATGGAGGCGTCACCACGGGCACAGTGTCGACAGTACAAAATAAAAAGACAAAACAATTATGAAAATCACAAATCTGAAAACGCTGAAAAAACTGTTTTGATTTATATATTTGTTCTTGTTCGATAATAGTGGATGTGAGTTCTAATTCTGTTCTTGGAGATGTCGTTTGGAGCACGGATGGTTTGAAATTTGAACGCATCTCGTCCTCTCCACTCGTCTCTTATGGTGTTTTTCTCCAGTGCCTGTATTGTATTGCAATTCTCGTTGGCTTATATTACACTTTGAGGGGGTTAAGAAGGGGGCGAGTCAGGAATGGGGGGGGTGTAATATTTGACTGGGGAGGGAGATTTTTGAAAGAGTTTGTGTAAAAAAATAAAAGGAAATAAAAAAAGGAAAAGACAGCATTTTATATTTTACCCGTTGTCAATATTCGGGTTTTAAATTTAGTTTTAGCTGGACTTCTATGAGTGTACACACCTGACAACTACTTTCTCATTTTGTTCAATCAGCAGATTTTAGATAGAGATGTTTCAGCATTGCCACACTAGCGTTTGAGTCTGGTCTGTGAGTGTGACTGTGTAAATTTGGACGATTGTGTGACTGTGTGTTATTGTTATTCTTTTTTTTTTTTAAGTGTGTGGTACAAGGAGGTATGTTCCGCAGTGTAGATAAGCATTCTATTGAGGAGGAGGAGAAACAGATGAACAGTACTTCAGGAGAATTTGTTTTTGTGCTTAAGTCACCTTTTTTTAATTTCTATGAAGTCCACCATATACAAATATATAATTTTTATTATTAGGCTGGTTTTAAAAGGGTAAAAAAAAAAAAAACTTCATTCCTGTTTAGCCTTTTTTTTTTTTCACAGTAACTGTTGGACATTATGTGCCATGAGTTCTACCGAGAATGTGCTGACCCGCAGCTCAGCCCAGAGTTTGCTTTATTCAGGTATTTTATTTTGTGTTACATGTGTTCTGTTGGGGGGGTTTTGTTCAAACCTTTTCCTCGATTATCGTTTGGTATGTGAGTGGTCTATCGAGGTTCCTGATCTGTTATAAGTCTGTTATGATCATTGAATAAACTCATTTCTTTTATAGAAAATAAAAAATAAACGAAAAATGTTTTGTCTCTGTTTTAATTCGATGCCTCTGGTGGAAATGCAATGTCACTCACAAGCTCTCGGATTCTCAATCAGCAGATTCTTAAGAGGGAGCAGCTCTTTTTAAATATTTCAGTACATTTCACACAGGAGAACCTGGAAGAAACATTCAGCTTCATTTTAAGTACTGGAATAACTTGAGCCATTAATTAAAATTAATATTTTGATTTAATGAAAAAAAATAACAATATTTTCACTTTAGTAATAACAACACCTAATAATCATATTAGTTTGGTTTGTGCTGGTGTTGTCTATATTGATGTTGATTATCAGAATCAGAAAAGCTTTTATTGCCAAGTAAGTTTACACATACATGGAATTTGTTCTGGTGTTGTTGGTGCATGCTAGACATCTCTAAATATAAAAAGATAAGAAATTAAAATTGAACAATATAAATATAAAAATATATACACAGTATGTATTTGTACGAATGTAGGAGTGTAGTGTCAATGTGACACACTGCAGTCCTCACTGTGGCCACCAGAAGGCAGCAAATACGATGCATTCAGGTGCATATTCTTAGAAATAAATTCAATTGTATGTTTATGTTTATTTACTCTGATGTCACGTGTTTCCAGAACTTAGTTATTGTTGTTGTTTGTGGAACCATTTTAACACAGTGTTGCAGTTCTCACTTTGGACTCTGGGGGCAGTGAAGACCCCTGGTTCCTAATATATTCAAGCGATCGAGACTGAACCCGCACTTCCGGTACTTTCAAAATAACAACCAGGAAATAACATTAGAACTTCCGCCATATATGTTTTTATTAGTTTATTTGACGCTTACAGTGGAAACATTTGAAATGATGCAGTGGCCGTGAACACGCTCTTAAAATGAATAACTTTTAATCTCACTATTTGTTTTATTGCCGCAGAAAATGTGGTTAAAAGTCACGTTTAGGTTTGTAGGTTGTGTTGCTTTAAGAAGCCCCTCCTAGTCCCCAGTCATTCAAAAAAGTTTTAGCATCATAGCTAATTAGCCTTTCAGTGTTTACTTCCCTTGTAGCTCGGACATTTTGGTTTCAGCACACTAACACATGGCTTACTAAAAAAAAGTGATTCAATAAAACAAACAATATGAACAAACAGTTTGAGCTGAAGCTGCCTGAGCGATTACACAATGTTATCTAAAATTAAAGACGCCCTCTTGACTAAGCAGATAATGTTGCATTAAGGATTGTGCTTCCAAGATGGAGAAGTGAGTCACATGTTTGTGACGTGTGTCTCCACCTGTCCTGCTCTGCTGACTCAAAGAGACATGATCCTAACCCTGATGCAAACAGACGTGGGCCACTTCAGGCAATGATGCAGCACCGCTGACCCAAACTAAATAGTGTGAGCTTCATGCGGCTCCGCTTGTGAAATAGCAAAACGTGGGCCCAAATATCCCAAAACAAATGTGAGCGTTTTTTGCGACGCTTTAGGCAAAGTGTCACCTGGATGTGAACTTAAAGTGACGCATGAGATAAATGTTGATTATGGCCCAAATAGCCTAAAACTAATTCAGGCCACCGTTGGATTAATGCAGCATTGCTACGGCTCACTTCTGGCCCAGATGTAGTAACAGGAGCAGACCGTCCAAGTGCCACCGTTTGCAGTACATGGGCCAAAGCTGGGCCTAAACAAATGTACGTGGGAACGTTGAGTGATACAAAGTACTTGGGCAAAAAGTCTGTATGTGCTTTAATCCCAATGTACTCGATGAGACCTGTGAGCCTGAAATAAAGCTTAACTAAAAATTACTAAAAACCCACAGTGTGTGTTTTTTCCCCCCACATTCCAGGTTGTACGTGAAGGCACCATCTGTCCTGTCTGACGGGTGCAGCTGATCTGAGTGAGAATGATTCAGTCTCACCTGAAGCTGCACCACCACCACCACCACCGGTCCCCCCGCCACCACCAGTCCCACCAGCACCACCAGCACCAGAGACGCTTTCTGCAGCGAGGAGCTTCATGTCTGGATGGAGAAAACTCTGACACACACAGTAAGTTTGCTTTTTCTATTCTTAAGTTTCTTGTGTACAAAGTCCAAATGAAAATCTCCATTTGTTTCTCAAAAACTATTTGAGTGGTTTTAGTTTCAAATGTCTCAGTGCAGGCTCGAGCAGTTTCTAGCAGGAACAATGATCTGAGCTCAGGAGCTGGTGTTGCTTGTTTTAAAGAGAGAGAAACTGCTGTTGAGTTGTTCTCCTGTAGTTTTGTGTGTTAAAGTAAAAGTAAACTTGAAATGTGTTGATTGCAGCTTCTCAGATTCGTTGGTTGGAAATTTAATATAAAACAGGAAGAAAACACAACAAACCCTGACATTTAGTCCCTGGACATTTTTCTTCTGACTTTTTATAGAAAAAATATTTCAAACTTCATTTGCCTTCCTGTCTTACCGTCAAAACAGTGGTGTTACCAGACTCTAACACACACGTCTCAAGTGTGCGTAGCCTGATTTTTATCTTCCTTTCTTTCACTGAGGATTATCTATATCTGTATCTCTACATTCTGACCGTCACTGAGTCTGTTTCATTCTTTTCAGACACTAACACCAGCAGTTCTTTCTTTCTTTCTTTCATTGAGGATTATTACAAAAATACAAAGTTCAGGTTAAAATCGAAAGGCAAACACAGGGAGGGCCTTTGTTTCGAAACACACTCATTAAAAAAAACTTCACAAGTTATATTGGGACAGAGGTGATAAAGTTTGATGCAAAAAAGGAAATAAACCTCAACAAAATAAACCTACAACCCTGTAGATATGTACCTATATCTATCCCTCGATACATTATATACACATATACATATGCTTCTATAGATAAAAATGCACCTGCACACTGGTTTTCATCAGGTGCATTTTAGATCTTTGCCACACTAATAAAGGCTTTTTAATGTTTCCACATCATGAGTTGTGTCCTTGTTTTGCTTCAGTATAATATTGTCGGGTCACAATCCAAAGGACTTTCAGTACAAAAGGCGCCTGGAGACGTCTTCTGTTCCATTCTTTAGTTTCCAGTTTGTAAAAGCATCATATCTGAAAATCCTTCTGTTGAAATACCACATTGGACATTGCCTGTTGCTGCAGCACATTAATGAACTGACGGACTTTGTGCTTTTTTGCAGTCGGGGTCATGGAGAGCAACATGTCCAGCAACTGCTACTACAGCAACAACGTCACCTTCTTCTACCAACGGGTAGGCAAGAGCATCAGCTCGGGGTGGACGACGCGGGACTACGTGGTGATCGGACTGGGCCTGACGGTGTGTTTCATCGTCGCGCTGGCCAACCTCATGGTGATGGTGGCCATCTTCATGAACCGCCGCTTCCACTTCCCCATCTACTATCTCCTGAGCAACATGGCAGCGGCGGACCTGTTTGCCGGCATCGCTTACGCCAACCTGATGCTGAACACGGGCCCCTGGACCAGTACGCTCACCAAGAAGCAGTGGTACATCCGAGGGGCCCTGATCGACATCAGCCTGACGGCGTCTGTGGCCAACCTGCTGGCCGTCGCCGTGGAGCGCCACCAGACCATCCTCACCATGCAGCTGCACAGCAAGATGAGCAAGCGCCGGGTGACGCTGCTGATCGTCTGCATCTGGGCCGTGGGCATCGTCATGGGCCTGGTGCCCTCCATGCTGTGGAACTGCGAGTGTCACCTGGACGACTGCTCCACCGTCGCTCCCCTCTACAGCCGCCGCTTCCTCGTCTTCTGGGCGATTTTGAACTTGCTCACATTCTTCATCATGGTGGCCATGTACACCCGGATCTTCATCTACGTGAGATACCAGAGCCTGTACACGTCTCAGCACAGCTCGGAGCACAGGCGGACTGTTTTCAACCTGATGAAAACTATCTCCATGGTTTTAGGTGAGAACTTCAGCACAGACTCTGAAAACACATCGAAACACTGGTGCATCTCTTTCTTGGTTTGCAGCCACTTCTGCACGATTTCAGATTTTAGTTTTACTAAGTTTTTACTAAGTAAACTAAGTAAGAGCACGTATGTCTTTTACATTATTTCTCATGGCTTCGTGTTGAATGGCTGAATTCACCTCTCCGCTGAAGAGAAACACATTGTATTTTGAAGGTAGTGGATGAGCGGCTGTTTTTTCCCAGCATCCTACGGCCTCCCATTCCTCCACAAACCAGATCCACAGCTGTAGCCTTGTGTATTTCTCCAGAACTCATCTGTTCTCTGCAGTTGTTTTAGTTTCAGAGGTTGTCAGGAATTTCCAGTGAAAATGAAATTAAGCATTTCATCTTGTATCGCTCAGGTGACTCATCTGGAGCCAGTTCACTGTGATGATGAAAAATCACAGCGGAGATGTTGTAAAGCATCTCAGGCTGATTTTGATTTGAGTTCGTTGTTTTCGACTCTTTCTCTGCAGGCGCCTTCGTGATCTGCTGGACCCCCGGCCTCGTGATCCTCTTACTGGACGGGCTTCTTGGTAGAAGAAGCCACGCCAACGTCTACGAAAAGTTCTGTCTGGTGATAGCCGAGTGCAACTCTCTGGTCAATCCCATCATCTATTCCCTGCGAGACGAGGAGATGCGGAGCACGTTCAAGAGGATCGTGTGCTGCCTTTGTTGGAGGGGTGGCGGCCGGCAGAGGGAGCCTCCAGCTGAGGAGATAGACTCTCCATCACCAGAAGTAACTATTGTTCCAGTTAGACTTAATGTAGGTTTATTGACCACGTAGTGCAACATGGGAAACAGGCTTTTTGGTTACAGTGGTTTTAGATAAACAGGACAAGCCTCAGTTTCCGATCACTGCTAACAACAAACTCTCCTGTTCATTCATGCCTCGTCACATTCTGCCTCAGTGAGTCATGCAGGTTTTCTTACCGCTCAAGTGCACATGCTGATTTCTAATCTAACAGGCTGGGAGGGAAAAAAACTCAGCTACCTGGTTCAGAGGAACCGGTCTCCTCCTCCACTAGATTCTTTTGTTTGATAGTGACGAATAATTTTCTCGTGAATTAATTTATTACCTCTGCCAAGGTTTTCTTTTCCTCTACGATGTGAGTCTGATAGTTACATTACACAGAAACTACCGGACGGATTAGCGTGAAACTTTGTGGAAAGTTGTAGAATGGGTCAGGGGAGAACACATTCAATTTTGGTGTGAGTCCGTAACAAGGGGCGGATCCAGGAATTTATCACGAGATAACTAGAACTTCACTCAGTAGAGCACATACCTCCACCAAGGCCTGACAGTTTCCTTATGAAGCCACATTATAATTCACAATAATGATTTCTGATTTGTTGTTCTCCACACATGCCAGTTTTTTTCCATCAGGATTCATGAATCATTCTGTGAGAAATCATCAAATATGCTGAAATAAAAACCTAAACCAACATTCAGCATTTTCTTCCCTCTTCACAAAATGTCATCTGTTGAGCAGTTTTTGTGTAATCTAGCTCAATGACAAACAGATGAATACATAACCATCTTGGCAAAGGTGTGTGAATCTTGATTTAAAAAATTCAAGCATATTTAGCCGGTTGGTATCTTAGTGTTTTTACATTATTGGGTGCAGATTAAAATCCATATCTATGAATTTAAATGTTTTCACATGGGAACTGTTGGGGCTTGGAGGTGTTCTCTCTATTGAGAGACATTCTGGTTAAATGTTAATTTTAAAAGTTAGTGCTGGATCCTTGTTTGCTTTCCTGAGCACTAAAACATTATATTTTGTCCACAGGAATCTCTCAACTGTGTCGAGAAATCAGATGATCAGACTTGTTCTCAAGACACCAACAAAAGAGAAGACAGTTGGACAATGGTGGGGGTATGATGGCTGCAGGCCTGTATTAAAGAAACAGCTTGATTTTACTGTCATCTAACTGGGACACACTGTGAAAATGTTGATATTGATCAACTACCTCTAGAATGTTTTCATGTGTAAATGGACTTAAATATATATAAAGATGCATCAGGTAAAAGGATTTATTCCACGTCTGAGGATGCAGTTATTTCTCAGGATGTTTGACACATTCACATCATCAGATGGTGCCATCTCTCGTTTTATTACATTTGACTATCACAAGAGCATTTGTGACAAATTATAAAATGAAACACTCCTAAAATTAGAAATCAAATACTGGGGGGAAAAGAAAAATCACACTAAATCATTTTATTAATTTTCTAATAAGAACACTACAATTTGTCATATTCTTCCTTTTGTTTTACTCTTTCTAGAACAATTCTAAAGTTGAGGTATAAAAGGAGTTCATACAGACTCACAGGTCTGAAAACAGTGGGGGTTATATACAAGAGAAATGGAAAGACAGAGGTAGAGAGAGGGGTAAATACAAGGGAAAGAAGGGAGATACAAATATACTAATAAAAACAAAGAAATCATAAAGGTTTAGAGTTCAGACGTTTGACGCTGTGGAAGTCATTTAGTCACTTGCAGAATCCAAACACGATTTAAACACGGTCGTTAATAGAGTGAAACTAAGTTTGGTATTTTCGATGTGCGGGACCACATAATGAACCCACTGATGTTTTGTGTTTTTGCTGCAGATTATGCACTTAAAACCTTTTTTTCCTGTTTCAGCGTGGAACAAGAATTTAACAATTTAAAATAAGCTGCCGTTTAGTTTTAATTAATCTAATTCACCTTAACACAACACAAACATCTGCTCCTTTTGCGCTAAGTTGTTACGGGCTGATAACTTAAATTTGACAGCATCTGTTTTAAAACTTTTGATACAATGATTTTTTGAGCGGCTTTTAAAGAAGATTTACGATTAAATTAGGCTCGAAAGAGTGGCAGATATTTGGGGAAGTGACTGTTTAACTGATGAAGTGTGGAATCAGATGAGGAGTTTCCAGGGATTAGCACGGGTAAAAAAAACACCAAACAATATCCATCGCAGAGCCTCAATGCATTCGAGAATCTTTCCACAGCACCAAACGTTCCACCTTTAAACCTTAAACATTGCCACTCGGTTATGTAACAAAAGACCTAAATAATATTCAAAGTTGATACAGAGTTATCGTGAATCCGTGACACAAAAGGCCAAATAAAAACTGGCGTCTCAACCGAACATCAAAGTTTATAAAAGAAAGAAAGAAAAGGAAAATATATACTGAAACATTACACAAACTGTACAGTGACATCCATTACAACAGGTAGAAAAAGGAGGGGGAGGGGGGGGGCATGACAATTTGGTGCGGTGATAATTTGTAAGATACAGTCGTATGAACTGCGATGAGTAACAAAAACGAGTAATTAAAACGTGGGATATCACATGTGACCAGCTTATAAGCTCAAGTTTTGTTCTGTAACATATGGTTCAACAAAGTCTTGACTGACACTTAAATATTCATAAGGCTTTACCTTACTATCAAAATGCTTTGTTATTCACATGACATTTAAATGTATAAAATAGTTCCAAAAGAATGAAAATCCCCAAAAACGCTGCAGGTTTGTCTTAAAACAGGAGTTTGACTGCGCCCAGTGCTGCCTCTTTTTTGGCAACAGGAGAGACAGAGAAGCCCTTGCCCAATCGGCCATAACTAAAAACAAAGAGTTGTGGTTTTACCAGAGGATAATAAAAGATGGGTAAAGGGGAGAAGATGCCCTCGATGCTCACAATCAAATTACAGGTCTGATATGACAGTCCTCACCCCACCCACCCTTCCTTCCTGTGAAGCCCCACAACAAACCCCCCCCTCCCCCCAAAAAAGAGAAATCAAATCAACTTGAGGCATGACAACACCACACAGAGAGACACAGATACAAATATAATTCCCTCCTCGCCTCGACCTGCAAAGGTGGCTGTGCACCAGCTTCAGAGAGAGAGACAGAGTAGCATTATTACATTGCTGAACGTGGTATTTTTGGTTTTTGGTACAACAGAAGGTTGTAGCGTGTTGCCTCGGGCTCAGGAGCGTAAAATGTTTCCAAGATGGGGAGGAGGAGATCTCACCCGAACCCCCCCCCACCTGCTGTGTCATTGGCTGGTGGAAGCACCCAGTCTCTATTAATGCTCACGAAGGTCAGAGGGCACCAGCCAGTTTGACTTAAACATCCACTGTACACACGCCCACACAGAGACACACACATCATAGCAATACATGATGCACTTTTTCCTTTTTGGTCTGACTGTAATAATTATACCCTTTTATTTTTTAGGTTTTTTTTGTTAATAAAAACGAAGCTAAAAACTCGGAAGGTTAAATGAAAACAATAATATCACGCCTAGAAGTCCTACATGCATGGAAGACAGTCACGTTTCTAAATTCATGTCACGTTTGTCCCAATAACACATCAATGCCCCACAATCTTTCCACCCCTCGCCTAACGTCGTCTAGATGCTTTATTGAGCTCATTTTTGGTGGTGGCTGGTGCATTCTTGGTGAAACAGCATTAGAAAATAGCCTACAATCAAAATAACTAGTGGACAGAAAGCAAGAAGTAAAGTCTACAAGCCGTCTACCAACACCCTCTATTGGTTAGCAACAAAAAGGGCTATTAGTTACATCCACTCCACCAAAGTTATTCTCCTCTCTCTGCCCTTTCATCCTCTTCTCGCCAGCCCTAATATCACCTGTCCTGCCTGGTTTAGAACAGTGATCCCCTTCACTACCTTTTTACAGGTAGAGACACCCATAACAAGGATGCTAACTTTTGTGCTTGACACTTTTTTATGTCAGCTCACTATGAAAACGACTGAAAAGTTGTCGGCTATGTGTGTGTGTGCGGTATGGATGACAGGGGGGGAGGGGGTTTACATGCACCTTTTGCACATGTCTCAGTTATTCACTTTGAAATCTCCAACAGAATGAAATATCAACCTAGAAGGACCCGGGAGATGCGACGGCGGAGGGTGATCTCGGAGGAACAGATGTGTTGACAACTACTGGGGCAGCACTTTGGTACGAGCAAGGTGAGCAGAGCTCCCTGGTGATCTGTATCGACGGTTTGGCTGCAAATGCCAAGGCTTCAAGAGATACAGGCAATCACACACAGTTTTCCAAAGCAAAGGATCGAGTGCAGAGGTCAACGGCACATGGACAAGCTGTGTGAGTACTGTGTGAAGTTAACGTGCATATACACATTATGTACAGACATCATGATCATCTACACAGCTGGGTCAGTGGTTTTTCAAAAAGTCTGTGATGGTAAAGATGTTTTGAGCTCCGTCCCTCTTACGTTCTGAGTTACGGAGTGTCCGAGCGTTGGAGTGGAGCTGTGGAAGTGGAGGAGGGAGAGTTCCTCCCGACTGCTGTTCGGCTGTCCTGTGTTCCAGCACAGTGTGTGTTTATGAAATGCAAAAACAGGCCGGTGAGACTGTTTACTTGAGAGACGAGGGAGTGTTGAAGAGCGGGGGGGGGGCAGAGGATGGTGGTCAGAGCAGACCACAGTGGGAATGAAGTGATGGCAGAGGGAGCCACCGGATCAGTTGGAGGTGTCGGAGTGGACGCTGCCAGGAGGACCGGGAGGGGAGGTGACCGAGGGAGGGGTGGTGGTGTCCTGCCAGCTGTTAGCCTGCAAACACGATACGAGTGTTGAGCATAAAGATCGAGTTCGATAGTTCATCGTCTAAACTTAAAGTAAGATACATCTTTGTGCCTGAAATGTAAAATATAACCTCGCCTTCAGACTAAAGACCATCGGATATTAAAAACTATTAAATAAAGTGACACTTCACTGCAAAACAAATGTTTAAATATATTTATAAACAATATTGACAAAGCTTGCAGCATTTTTGAGAACATAACATATTTCTGTCCCAAAACATCTTTAATTACTACTTGGACAGTACAAGGGATGATGACTCGTACCGATACTGATTCTTATCAGTTCTTTTTGTTATTTTCTCAAGAAAAGGGAAACAAATTAAGGAAAGATTTATGGGTGACTTCATAAATTCTGCATGATCGTTTCATCCCAGATTAACCGAAGTACGAGATGAGCGGCGCCAGGCAGCAGGAGACACTTTAACAGCCTCCACACAAACACCTTTTTATTTGATTTGACCCTAATGTAATAAAATGTAATGAGACCAAACTGTTCATGTTGTGTTGAGTCTTCAATAATTGTTGTTTTAATAACAGTCTTCTGTATGACAGGGTGGTTTTTAAAAACACTATACAGGCGATCTGTGATCAGCATGACAGCGTGTTTGAATTTAACCTCCTTTTTAAATTAGCTTATCACTTAATTGCTTGTTCTGTCTCTGTCCAAACTGAACTTTGAAGAAATTCAAAACATGCTTCAACAGTCAAAATACACAGGATGAGCAGAAAAACAAGACACGAACTTCATTTTTAATTTGTCCTATTTATACTGTCACTGCATAACATCTGTCCTCATATTACCTCAATATTTAGGAGCAGAATAAACTTTGATAAAAATCTGTCAAATAAAAGCAACATTTCCAAATACACTAAATATATAAAGTGTTTTGATGTTTTGATGCAGCCCCTTAACCAATTAGCTCTAAGGTCAGCAATAACCACGGTTTCCCATCATGCTCTGACGTCAGAGCGAGACCTGGCTGATGTCGACTAAACCTATAATTAGCCTGAAGTAATAAATCCCTGATGTTTAACCAACCAAACTTATTTCCCAGAAAGAAAACATTGATTGAAGTCGCATCCCAGTGAGCATTCGTTTGAAGGTTTCAAAGATGATGAATCTTTAATTAAGTTTGCAATTTATACGTTTTCTGCTTATCTAGGTTACAACTCTAACTGTTGTTTCAACAGCATTTAAAGGTACATGTCTACATTGTAGACGATGCACCCAGTATCCAGGCATGAAGCCAAAATATCTCAGATACAAGTGCTGCCATCTTGTGCTAAAGACCAAATTTGGAGCCAGAGTAGCAACAGCAATCGGGGGTGGAGATGTGTTATTATGGTCAATTTATGCGCTTGACCGATCAAGAGCCAGTCTCAGCTTTCAATCATAAGGTTGCACCACATTTTATAGCATCAAATAAATAAAATAAAACATAAAAAAAAATTATTTGATGTGTACTTTGAGTTTTTAGTTTGGCCCACGTCCTATCCACTAACATGAAGGAGGTGGGGTTTATGACCTATACTCCAGCCAGTCACCAGAGGGTAATCAAAATGCTTTGGCTACACTTAAGGGGATGCAGTCATGTCATCCATCTTTATATCCAGCCTATGGTCTACATGTTTATAGTATTTATTGTTGAGTGTGTAGAACAGATACTTCTTATCCTGAGTAACTGCATAGTGGTCCATCAACTATACCACAAGAAAGACTTAAAGTTGTTACTCACATCCAGGTGATGAGGGGTGTAGAGGCCACTACCCGACAGCTCCTCATAGCCGCCCGTCAGGTGTGTAGCACGGTGCAGGGTATCCACCTGTCAGGGATAAAACACACACACATTTAGACACAAACATCAACACATCAGGACAACTGATTTTTTTTCTTTTTATTTTTTTAAAAGGTCCAGTATGTAAGATTTAAGTGAAACTGGGATGTACTGGCAGAAATGTATATAAAATAACCCTGTTGATGTTCTCACTCTCAAGTGTGTTTCACCTAAATTGTACAAATTGTTGTTTTCGTTACCCTAGAATTGGTCCTTATGTTTTCTAAAGTTGTCCAAACTGGACAAAGTAAACACCATTTGAGTTTTTATGACAACTGAAAGAGAACCTAGTGGTAGTTCTCCTTCATGCTTGGAAGAGGAGGGTGAGGTGAAGGGTATTCAGCTGCAACATGCAACTTAACCACTAAATGTCATTCAATTCTACACACTGAACCTTTAATTAGACATCCACAGACTGTGATAGCATCCACAAACCTCTACTGCATCAGAACCAGTCTGTATTAGTTATGATCACTCTCCAGCTGGAGTACTCAGCCATTTAGTCAGTGTAGCCCAACATTAAATCTATAACATCATACCCATCAACTCAATGACTCTACCTTACACCACATATGCTTTAAATACATGTTTAGACTGTAACTCAAGCCAAAAAGCTGGTACTTTTTAAAATGAACTTCTAGATTATGACGTGTTTAACAGCAGAAATCTGTGGATTCTTCCAGAACAAAACTCTATATGTCAAGGTAACGATCACGAGGAAG